TGATGATTTTGGTTTTCTGTGACCAAAAATATAATTCGTGACCTTAAAATTAGGTAATCTGTGATTGAAAATATTATCCGTGACCAACCATTTGTTATCTGTGACCTAAAGATTATATAATCTGTGATCGTAAAAAATCTGTGACCAACTAATTTGGAAATATGTGACCGTGTGATCTATAAATTTTGATCTGTGACCAACTAATTTTAAAATATGTGACCAACGAATTAAATGTGATCTATAAAATTTTTGAACTGTGACCGTAAAATAATCTGTGACGTATAAAAATTATTATTTGTGACTGAAAAATAATATGTGACTAATTAAATTATAAATCTGTGACCGGAATGATTGCCGAAATAGTCGCCGGAATGGTAGTCGGAATAATCGCCGGAATCGGAGCAATCGCCGGAGAAGAGTGGTCTCCAGAATGGTCGCCGATCCGAATAAGAGTGGTGGTCAGAATGATCGTCGGAATAATTCTCGGAGCGGTAGGGATGGTGCATGTGGGGTGGGTTTATTATATTATATTATATTAGAATTTAAAAAAAAAAAACCCGATTTTTGAATTTTCAAACTATAAACATGATTTTTGGATTGATGTAAACTAAACACCTTATTTATGAATGTTTTCCCTTTAAAATTTTATGGTACTTAGTAGGCTTTAATTTAGTAAACTTAATTGGGCTAGTTATTTAAATTGATCAAACCCATTATTTTTATTTAATTTTATTTATTTATTTTTATGTCTACACTATGCTAGGCACATTACCTGTCACGGGTTGCCAAAAAGTGTGATGTTTTCGGATTGACATAACCTACTTCACACGTCTAGTTAGGATTTTAGAAATTCAAAATGGAAAAAGTGCAAATCCCATTCTTTGAGGTTATTAAATTTTTAATCTTCAACATGTGTAGGAAATAGATCTCTCCAAATGAATTCCCTCATAAAAAGACAATTAAAACGTCACCTAAATTTCAATTAAATAATAAAGAAGTGAAGAAGAGATCATACCGTGTTATAAGTGATTGATACATCACATTCAACACCTAATGCTCACATAATTAGATAAAAAAAATTAATTTTTTGGCAGATCGACTTCCTAGCATTGTCAGTTTATGAATGCATGTTCTTTGTTAAATGATCAACCTTAGTTATGTAGTCATTGATGTAAAAAAAGAAAGACATAGTATAGAATAAAATAAAATATTCAGTTTCTTGCACACAACAATGATGAACAGAATCAGGGGCGGACCAGGGGGTCCTGGCCTCTGAGGGTCATGTGACTCCCCAACTTTTGAGTTTTTATTTTTATTTTTTTATAAAGTCATGTTTGGTATCGATTGAAATTTAAATTTTAATCTAAATCAAAGTTAACAATTAATTTTAATAACATATTTCATGGAATCCATAACTGTTTTAACTTTTATCAAAGTTTACTAAAAATTTGATTTTAATCTCCAATAAATAGGGACAAAATTACAATAAATTTGAATCACATTTACTACATATCTTCACTTTTCAATCAAATTTTCGAGTAATTAGAACTTAAATTTGCATTTTCTCTTATCAAACTGTGTATATAAAATGTGTCTGAATTCATCATATACAATTTGACTTATATTTAACAAATTGTGTTTATTTGATTGACTATTAGTTATATATTTTTCCTTTCGATTATTTGAATTGATTATTTGCATCAAATAAATTATAAGATTTTTAAACGTAAATATGCATTTTCTTGTGATGAATAAAACATTAATAAAATGACTCTTCGAAATCTAATGAATGAAAATTATTAGCAAAATATTAATGAAGAAATGTTTTTTTAAATGTAAATCTGCATTGTCTCGAATCAAGTATGAGTCATTCAAAAATTAAGAANAAGAAATGTTTTTTTAAATGTAAATGCATTGTTTCAAGTCAAGTATGAATTATTCAAAAATCAATAACAAGGTATTCGATATGTACATGGTTTGATTGTGCCACATAACCTAAAACGTTTGCGTCCGTCCTTGAAGAGAATCAATACCCAACTTCTGCAATAAAGACAAGGTGCAGCTCAAATTTACAACTGAACAAAAATTTAACAAGGTCAAGTTTTCATTCCTTAACCATAAGTAGACGTCAATAACTGAATCTTGCAAGTAACATTATCATACAGAGCAAAACACCATGGAAAAAATTATTGAAGCAATTCCAGAAACCAGTGCCCGTTGAGAGAAAAATATGTATCAGGAAGAAAACCGTCATCTTGGTCAACAGTTAAGATGAGCTAATAATATACAGAGTTCATTTTATGCATAAAAAAATTCAAGTTTTTATTTACCACGAGCACAAAGATCAAAATAACCACTGCAAGCTGTATTTCAACTCTACGATTATAACTTTGCACCACTACGAAACAGACTGTTTTATGTCATGTTCACGATCTATTGCCATTCATACCTGCAGCATTCAAAACCAGGAGTAATGCAACAAACACCCTACACGACTTCAAGAATTTCTTGCATTTTGGCAAATACAATGAAATATGAATTCGGCAAATAGGATAAAATGTAATAATTTCCAACAATTGGTATTATGCAGAAACCAAAGGACCAAAGGTCTTTTGCGAGAGAAGCAGTCAAATTAATCATCGAGAACCTTTCTAGAAATTTAACATTTGCCAATTCAATCTATGTTCACGAAATGTTTCAATATATTTACATTACCTAAATAAGATCATGTAAAACATCATACAATGACCATAAAATAGGCCATATTCATGTCAACAAGAAGAATTGAAGTGTTTCAGAACTTGGAGGTGAAAGTAATAGAAAGTTTACAAACATGCCTGTCCAAATTAAGCTAATAAGATGCAGGAGTCAGGATTATGCACAATCATAAAACTGAACCTGAATTATTTCAATCTCCATCCTTTTGAAGCTGCTGGATTATTTATTACAAGGTGTCAAGAACACTACAGCAAGTCAAACAGGTAGTTTAAACTAAAAAGGAAGATCTAAACGTAACAATAATTGTTCCTCTCAAAGAGAAAATTTCATTCTAGTAAAATATGACAGCAGATGGCTGCTTAACGATTCCCAAACTTCTAGCATTTCAGAAAAAGACAATGTATTGAGTGACTAGAAAAGCAAAACAGAATTAACTCTCAACAAATGGGACATGGATTATGCAGATGTGAGGTACTTGACAAGGAAACAGTCAAAACAATATCTTCAATCATCAAGGCCAATCCAACATGGATTCTGTTTAATCTTTATTTTTAGGCTCAAGCAGTACTTCAACGCATACAGATTTTCCGATGTACTTTCTTCAAGATAGTTGGAGTCATGACTTGGTTCTTTGTATAGAACTTTTTTTCTGCTTTTCTCCTTTATTTATAAAAAACGAAGAAGAATGGATAAAGACGATTCCAGAAAGTCTAACATAATTTCAACATAATATACAAGCAAAACAGTTAATGTTTGCATAATAATTTACTGTCTTCTAATTCGCAATGCCCCTTGGTTAATATGCACAATATATTTTCAACGACCATAAAGAAATTGTTTCTAGTATCAATAAGAAGAATTTGAAGTGTCCCAAACTCAGCAGAGAAACGTTGAAAATATTATTACAAAAGAGTTCCGAAAAGTTCAGTTATCTATTTCTAAAATAAACAATCTTCAATTCTCCAGACCCGAAAAGATTTTTTAAGCTGCAGAATAACTGATAAAATTTAAATATGACTTTAATCTTAAATACATGTGGTATTCGAATTCAATGAATGATGGTACAAAAAGTTACAGCATTTTGATTTGTGAGAAAAAGAAGAAACTTCAAAAACAACAAATGGAACAGAATACCTATAAAGCTATTACCAGTCACCACCATTGATGCACTAGGACTCCACTATCTCTTAGAGAAGTAAAAAGATCAAAGCATTGCCCATACGTCCTCTGGTACTTACTCGTTCTCTCTCCCGGGCAACATTTCTGCCACCTATTATAATGGCATTCAAGAAAAATTTCATCAATCAAGCATATTGCTCCAGTTTCAAACAACCTGGGAATCAAATCAAATTCAGTCCCTTCTACATCCATCTTCATAACCACATAGTCTCTCTCAGAGACTGAATTCTTCAACCATTCAGCCAAATCAAATCCCTGAATCTCATCCACGTCCCCAGAAGAGCTAGAACTGCCTGAAGACTGGACCGGTTGAATCCTCCCCATCCCTCTACCTTTCTTCACATTTTTATGACTGGGGTCTTGATTGTTAATCTCGAAAAACAGGGTCTCATTCCTCACCCATGCTGCATAAGGCAACAAAGTGACCCCTTTCTTATACTTATAGTCATCATAAAAAGTCTTATCGGCCTCAATTGCATATATTTCAAAAGTCTTGTTTTGCTTTGGATACTGCTTTTTAAACCAACTAACAATGCTTGACCCGTAGCTTCTAGCTCCAACGTCCACATACACATATCTCTGTTTAAAACTTATATCAGCCATTGATGGCAAGTACTTTATGTTCTGTAAATTCTTCTTCAAAGTAATCCAAGGCTTCTTTGGTTCTTCCTCAATTAGAGGCTCTGCTTTATGGACCAATTCTTGCTTATACCCAGGAACCGAGCAATCAACACTCTGACTTCCCATCTCTTGGCCAATAATTTGTTCGATATTTCCATATCCACTCACTTTTTTCATGACAATTTCACGAATCAATGGCATATTGGAATCAATCCCATCGATATCCCTAGTTTTTACCAATTTACAAAAGTGAAACAAATCAAGAAATGAATTGAGACTGTACTCATCTTTCGCGGCCGTGTGAACCACCAGAAATCCTTCGGGTTTCAGGGTCCGGGAAATCTCCATTGCAAAATCAACCAACTTCGAAGACTTCTCAATCATACCGCCACCGGAAAACACAAAATCGAAAGTATCATTCTTGAACGGCTGCTTAAAACCCTGCCCTGAAATTACTAAGGGCTTGAATGCTTTCTTGAAAATCCCTATCGAATCCTCCACCCCAATCTCTTTCAACGCAAAAACGTCAGCACCTGTCTGTGTTTCAACGCAAAGGATCTTATAACTAGGGCTCAAGAATCCCTCAGAAATCAGATCTTGGAAGATTGAGGAATAGAAACGAACGGACTTCTGGAAACCCTCGGTGGCCCAGAGTTCCGGCAGCTTTTTGGGCATAGACGGCGCCGACTTTCCATTGATGGAGATAATCGCCGACGAGGGTTTGGCCCGTTTCCTGATGCCCACCACAACATTGATATTTTCCGGCAACGAGAAGAAACAGAAGTCTCCGTGGTCACATAATTCCCCTCGGAGAGTCACGACGTACGCAAATCGAGTAACGATGACAAGTAAACAGAATAAACACAATTTTACCAAAAAATTCCTAAGAAAACTCGGTGTCCCTCCACTCTGCTGCATCATAGAAACCATGTAATAAAAAACAAAAAAATTACCCTCTATATCTCTAAATTATCTGAATGTATACGTATCCCTCTGTTGAGTTAACGTGAGCAGAAGCGAGCAGAAGTATGGTTACCGCCGATCAAACAACGAATTGGGGAAGGGTAAAAGAACGGTAAATTGAAGGAAAAAGGAGGGGCTAAACAACAAAACATGCTTCGAAATTCACTCCTGTGGGCTGCAGATTCTTCTTCTCATAGTATACTGTACACCCTTTTACTGGAAATCAATATTGAGAGAAAGAGCTTGAATTTCGGAGAAGAGAAAAGCGTAGATAATGGGGCTGGGTAAGGGGTCGGAGGAGACAAACAGTGAAACAGGACACGCTGGAAAGCGAATAAGTGTACGAAAATAACACGCTCTTTATCTTAAATAACGATATTGCCATCTGCCAGCTGGAAACTTGGCGTCTTTTTCCTTTTGACCGTTATGATTCTTCCGTTAATTTCGTTGCCTTTTGATTAATTGATTGAGGACAAACTACTTTCAATTCTTTTTCTTTTTTCAATCCTTCATTTGCAATTCGCATTCTTAATAAATAAATAAATAAATAAATAATTATTATTTCAAAATCATACTCTCGTTATGACGAGAGAATAATGGGGGCCAAACGAATGCTTATTCTTATTTATCGTGTTATACTATCTTAATAAATGAAACTTAAAATCAAATTGAGATATATTTTAAGAAAAAAAATGACATTTTAGATAGTAATTCATCCATAAGAATTTCATTAAAACTAATAAAATTTCAAAAGAGTAATATTAAGCTTGAAATCAATCAAAATATCTTGAAATTCCTTTATCAATTATTTTTTTAAAAAATAAATCCGTGAATACCTAGATTTTTAATGGATTTCATTGAATTTTAATGAAATCTATTTAAATATGGGTTTGTGACACTTAGATTTAATGAATTTTAATAGAATTAGTTAAAACATTTATTGGAGACAACTAAAATTATAATGGCTCTTAAAATTCATTAAAATCCGGATAGAAAAAATAGTTAAAATTTTGACCATAATATTATTAAGTTTTGTTTAATACTAAGTACTAAACACGTATAATTATATGGGATCATGCTACATGTATCGAATTTTTTTACATAATCCCTTACCGACTACTCACAATAGAGGGGTGGGAACAACATCTTGGAATTTTTTTTATTTGCGCGGAGCTCGCGTGCATGTGAGAGGAGGTAAACAATTCAGTAGGGGGTACAAATAGATTTATCCAATTATATGAAGAAATAAAAAAGTCAATTGAGTTTGGAGACAACTAAATTTATAATGGCTCTTAAAATTCAATAAAATCCGGAAAGAAAAAAATAGTTAACGATAATATTATTAAGTTTTGTTCAATACTAAGTACTAAAGATGTATAGTTATATCAAGAAATAAAAAGGTCAATTGAATTTGGATAGTTTCGGACATCTAATCCATCCTCAACTCTATACCAAACATTATATTGGTACAATATTAATACATCAAACATTGTGTTGTCTAACTAGATATATTCATATTCTACTAAAAATTCAATATTTTATTATATTACTTATGACTTTTTATACTTATCTACAATTATTTATTCTGCAATCATAACCTACCATGTGCAATAATTGTCACTAGACTATTATTGAAATATATTTTACACGTACATAATTTGTAACCTATATGTTTTTATTTCTATGTATTATAACTTCTCTATTTATAAATCATCGAAACTATAAAATTTATATAATTATCTAATATATTATATTTTAATAAAGAAATTATTAGGGGTGATCATTTTTTCCCAGAATCGGCTAAAACTGGTCCGTTCGATTTCAGTCCGCCTAAGAAACCATTCGATTTTGGGACATTATCTAGAAGAGGAAATTACACCAAACCATGTGTTTTCTTTTACATTTTAAAAATTCAGGTTTTTAAGTTTTTTATTCAATTATCAGGTTTTTATAATTTTAATTAATAATGATTTTATAAAATTAAAATAACATATATACCCACCCCACTATCTACCCCCACCCACTTTATTTTAAATATAACATCTATCCAAACCCTAATCCATTTCACACCTCCTCCCTCTCTCACCCGCCGCCGCCACCACCGCCCGC